GATCGTGTAATTAGAATGATGAAAAAAGTGCCGAAATTGACACAACGTATAGCAGGAAAATCAGTTCCTTTGGAGGTAATTTAGTTGATGCATTGATCGAGAATCTATAAATGATGATCATAAATTAACAGTTGGAACTTATTTATTTCCATAGAAATTTGTTTCGCGTAAGGCGCGCAAATTTGTCCTCCAAGGGTATCGTCTTTTGTTACCTGCATGTGAATTAACATATGTGTGGAATTCATACGATGTCATGCCCTTAGTACATCTTTTACGGTCACTATCAGTCATCGAAATCACAATCAACAACCTGGACAGTATAAAAGAAAAAGATCTCTATATTAATTTCTGGGATGATGTCTGTCTAGCCTATTTACTCCGCGGTGTAATTCTTTCAAAAATCGCATTCCCAAATAATCCCAATCACGATGATGAAAAAACATTCAAACACAACAAAGATAATGTCACATCAACCTGTGCGACCGCGATAGCATCCCTCCAATACGTCGTCAGGAACGACCAAAATATAAATTTCGATCACTACTTGGTTCACTTTGCACGTTTTGAACTCGGTCGCCTATATACAAACATGCGTGAATTCGGCAAGGCAAAAGCGGAATTTGAAAAAGTGTTGGAAGGTAGCGATGTCGGAAAATATTCGCTGGAGAGTGTGCTGTTGTTACGGACTTATAATGCTATGGTGAAACTGGATCTGTTGCAACGAGAGGTGGAGTGGGAAGAGCATGAACGAGAGGAACGTGAACTAATGATCGCATCATGAATTCAAGTATTACCATCATATCATCACCATCATCATCATCATCATCACCATCATCACCATCATCACCATCATCACCATCATTACCATCACCATCACCATCTTCATCTTCACCATCGTCATCATCATTATTAACGTCATCATCAACATCAACATCATTATCATCATTATTTATTTGTTTTTGTTTTTTTAGAGATCTGTCTCCGTGTATTATAGTGATATAATAGTAATAATTATAGAGGGTGCGAGGGATACATACAAAAAGTTTGGAAAACTGTTGTCTTATTTATTTTTAATTTGTAATTGATTCCGCTGTTTCACTTTTCCTTTTATTTATTTGATTTTTCATCAAGTTAAAACAAATAAGAGAATTGAAAATTAATATCAATCAAATCATCCGTTTCTCTATAAAAATTTTTTATATAAAACTAAACTTTTGTGAATGACATGTTTCAAATGACGAAATGTACGCAAATCAAAAACAACATTCAAATGTGAAATCATATTTGAATTTTTTTTCTTTTTTGCGTGAAAAATTATTTGTTCCTAATATAGCACAGATCGTAAAAGAAGAAAATATTATCGAATATTCGTCTCTGTCTGTCTGTGCGGAATGAACACACGAAAGTAATTATAAGGAAACAAGAAATCGTGATTATAGGGTTGTGATGTGACAACTTTGAGATATTATTATTGTGACAAATGGATTAGTTGAGACATGATGCAATATGAAGATTAGTGACGTGAGATATGATGCGACAAATGGAGATATGACGTATAATGATGCGAGAATTGACGATTAATGATGCTATATGACGACGATATATGATGTGACAGTTGTGTATATTGAAACCTTTTTTTTTCAATGCTCTATCTTTTCAAGTAACTGAATCTTTATCCATTCAAAAGCAAATCCTTCTCTTTCTAAATGCGATTTCAAGTTCTCCACATTCTTCATATTGGCATCATCATCATCATCACCTTCCCAAAGCCCTAAAATAGCACCTCCGGATCCGGTTAATTTTGCGGCAAATCCATATATACGCGAAATTTCAATAATAAATAAATTTGCCGGTCCCAAGACGTGATCCCCGTATAATTCACGACGTAACGAGAAATTCTCGTTCATAAGTCGTGCAAGTTCTTTACGAGCATGATTTCTTGTTTGTTGTGTATTATTAGTTCTTTGGGACAAGATTTCTTTGGCTTGTTTTGCAAACTCTGCAAAACGATGCATTGCACTGATTACCTATAAATAACGAGTGATAAAATGATCTGTATTTATATAGCACATGGATGCGAAAAAACAAAAGAATTTACCTGTGCATCACCTGCCTCCCATCTTGTACGCACTTCGCTATGAATTTTTCCTAACACATTAATAAAATATTGCAGGTAACGATTGGTTATTCAGTCGCCGGCCAACCTTTTTTCCTACCTGAATCACTGGGCTTGGTTTCGTAAGCCAACCACAATCCTGGCGGTAAATTTTCATGCGAAATGCGTTCATACTTTCCAAATCCTTGCCTTTCCAAATATTCTTTTCCAAAATCCATAAACATCAATCCACCAAACGTCTGAATCACACGATCCTGTAAACCCGCAAAAATTCCTAACACGTCTTTTTCAACAGCCAGCACCAACGAAGCTTGTATTTCGAGGCTAATTTGGTTACGACTAACCCCATAAAAAATCATTAACGCTTTCCAAAAGGCGGTTATTATTGCTGATGATCCACCGAGTCCAACTTGTCGCGGGATGGTTGTCTTGAATGAAATGGTAAATCCTCTATTATTATTCTCACCAAGAAAGGGAATATCATGCGTTTTGCAATATTCATGGAAAACTTTGCAAGTTGCCCAAAGTAATGAGCTTCCCTGATTGTCTTGATCGAAAATCGATGAGCTGGTGGTGATTAACGCATTCATGTTTGGAAAAGTGTACATAACTTGACCGGTTTCAGAAGATTGGAAATTGATGACTTGATATTCTTTTGGGTTATTTGCGAATTCATTTGGAAGTAAAGTCAACTCGACAGAAAAATTATTAATTAACATTGATATAGTTTGACCATAGAATCCATCTGATGGATTTCCCATAATCCCAACTCGCGCGTAGGATTGCGTTTTTATAGAATTTCCATAATGACGATACTCGAGTGGAGTATCTTTTAAGATTACAGAAGATAATATAAAAATAAAAAAAATTATTAAGCAGAGAGCAAGAATCTCAACGGAGAATCTAATCTAATCAAAATCGTTCCATTGTTCAACCACCAATTATGTATTAAATTTTGAAATCGGAAAATGTGACCTTCTCCCACTGATGGTACCTTGACAGGTAGCCTTGTTCATCAAATGTAATTCCTTCAGCTGCTAATTTTTCTCGTTTATCACAGATTTTTTCACCGGTGCCCCATTCGCCGTCAAATCCGCCAATAAAGTAGTTCGAAGAAATAACTCGATGACAGGGAACAGGAAACGGAGCGAAAGGGTTCACTCGAAGTGCGCCGCCTACTGCACGAGGAGAGCTTGACAAAGCGTCCGATATTAGTTTATAGGTTGATACGTAGCCTATTTATTTTCGTTATTATTCTTTTTTAATATTATATGATAAATAGTATTATTGATACATGAACGAAAAAAAAGGAACCTTTTGGAATCTTGTTTTTCGGGCAACATTCATAAATAGATTAGTTCAAGATAGAAACGGATATGCACACTAAATAAATTTATTTACCTGAGCGCAGAGGTCATATACTTTAAATTGGAAATCTGTAACAACTCTGCCGGTCTTAGCGTTTCGAAACTCTATCCTTTGTCCTCCGACAGGATATGGTTTCGTAACTGTATGAGAGTAAAATAGAATAAGGTAAAAGAAAGAAAATATGAAATAGTAATAGCTCTAATAACCTTGGATGTTATCATAATTTACTCGCATTATTGTTTGTTTGGGAAAGATGTAACCCAAGCCCGAATATTAACTATTATTATAATATTTTTTGACGTGTGTAAATCAATACGCTTTTCTTACTATTTACTATTCAAGTTTCCGTTTTGAAATCTATATTTTTTTTTAAAAAAAAACGCTCATTTGACTTACGTAGACGGCAGCCATTTTTCAAATCATTCAAATATACTTATAAAGCAACATAGGCTGTTTATAGTTTAATAGCATGGAATTTACGCAAGTGCATTACGATACTTTTAAAAGATTCCTTGCTACACATCTTGCTAGAGGTAGTTGCGCATTCAATTGATCAAAAAAAAATTGGAAGTTTTCTGAATTAACGAATTTACAATTACCCGTGAAATTTTCTTCAAAAAAAGAGCAAGCCGGGGGAGCAAGTGCACGAGCTGGTGCTCGTGAAAAACTGACCAAACTCAACAAACAGCAGTTTCAAGAACTTTCGACAGATGTTTATGACGAATTAGCCAGACGGTCATCGGGTTCGAACGAAGGTATCGTATGGCGCTTGCTTAGGTTTTTACACGAGCGGAATTTTTCGCGAATTCCTCCAAGGGATACAATAAACATTGTATACACATTGAGATTTTTTGATTTTGAGATATATATTGAACGAAAAGTTATTCATTCGCTTGGTTTGATTTGTGCTTATATATAGTACCTTATCTTCCGGAACGTGAGGATTTTCATCCAAAGAGAAATCAAGCACGCCAGAAATTGTCAACTCTTCAAAAAAATCGATTCAAAGATCTAGCAAGCGATGTATATTATGAGTTGGATAGGCGATTTCCGGAACTTAAAAAAGATAATAACGTGAGTTCTCTGTATGTGAGGTTGCTGAATGTATTTTATTTTCAAACATATGGATACTAAGATTCGTTTTCTGGGTGGGGGTTGGGGAATGTTGGGTGATTATGAATAGTTACCCTCATTTCAACCTAATGAACAACATACGATTCCCAATAAGTTGGCAGATGGTGTCGCTTTTCGAGCACCAAAATCAAATACTATTGTTCCGGAAAAAGGAACTCTAAAAGAAGAAATAATAGATTATACAATTCAAAAACCAACTAGTCGACCTGACACGTCTAACGTCGTGGTGAACACCAATAACAACAACATGAATAACAACTATCCAGCAGTGCCTCCTGGAATGCCTCCAGAATACATGTCGTCACAGTCGCCAAAGAGTCGCACACAATCACAAGGCTCTTCAATCTCAGATTTTGGCCGACGCTATATACAGAGCGTAAGTAGTGAAGGCTCAAATAAAGATCGAAGCAGGGACACCGTTAGCAGTCAAAAGAGTAACAAAAATGAAGGACTTAACACCGCTTCGCTTGATAGTCTAATGGCAGATATTGGAAGTATGTTTGATCATAAATTGCAAAATGTCGGGGAATTTAACACTAATTTGTCGTCTCAGAATTTTTCCTCTGCTGATGCTAATCGAGGAGAGGTAATGATGGGTTTCTGCTTTATTAGTAAATGTTATCGATTATTCATCCATTACGCCGATACTCTCGAGTATACATGTATACGTATTGACTAATATATTTTTATCGAATAGATTCCAGATAATTCTAAATTCTCTAATGGCAATAATAATGAAAAGGTGAGATAAAAACATATTAATATTCATACCATCCCAAAATTATCAGCCCCTTTTTTTTTCTACGCTGAAAATTTAAATCATAATCAATAATTTGAACATTTAAAAGATTAATCTCGAGATTGATAAAATCAAATCAGATTATGAAGCCCGTATTGCTTCATTGGAAAACAAAATTAGTGAGTTAGAGTCTGAATTATCGGTATGATATCCATTTGCAAAAAAAATATTATTCGTGACTTAATATACATGGAAAAAAAATTTAAAGCTTATACATTAATATTGTAGGAAAAGAATAATAATCTGGTTGATAATGCCAAAGTCAGAGAGCTCCAACGAAAACTCGAAACCCAGATACAAGTAAATCAACAACAAGCATCGAAACTGGAGAAGCTAGAAAAAGAATTTAATAAATTAAATGAAGATCATCAGCAACAACAAGAGGTAATTTGCTTAAAATTATTCTATAGTTGAAAAGTTTCTCATTCGGATGAAATGCTTGAATTACGCGTAAAATCTTCGTTAAAATCAAGTTCTGGCCATTCTTCAATAATTTAGCTTAAAAAATTTGATTCATATTTGAACAATTAAACATTTGCTATCAATCTCGGCTTATATCTAATGATGCATTGCCTCAATTTTCTTTAGGTAGCAAATGATGTGCGGAAAGAAGCCACCTCATTATTAGAAGAGATTAAGTTACTTTCAAAACGTAATGATGAACTATTACTTGAAAAAGAACAGGACGCTGATCAAATTAAGGCTCTGAAAGCAGAAGTGGAAGAATGGAAGGGCAAATTTGAAAAGAAGAAGATCGAATTACGAAATCTTAAAGGTAATAATACAACTAGCATAAAATAGTAAATAAATA